GCTCCATACGACCACACTGCAAAAAACAGAGGAGGAGATTTGGCGTCAGCTTATTTGAGTGGCTTGAAAACATCACAGATCAAAATGAGCAAGGCCATCTTTCCAGCCTAGACAAATAAAAGACTGGGGTCACTTTGCAGATAGTTTAACCAAGGGAAACTTTCAGCTATGAATTATCTACAGAGATATATGGACTTACAATTCACTTCCCTGTTCATAAAGTAGTTTAATGATTTTGGGCACTTGTCTCACCATCTAATGACCATGATTCAAATCATGTCTTCTGTTATCAGTAGAAATTGATTTGATGGGTCTAATCCTGTCCTCACCATAAAGACACTACCCCAAGGGTGTCCAACATATAGCCCAAACGGAACAGTTCCACCAGCCCGCCAGTACTCCGGCAGGGTACTGGACAATGGGGATGGGGCTAGTGGGGTGTGGCCAGCTGCAGAGTTTGGGGTGCCTGGACACAGATGAACATGGCCAGCAGCAGCAGGAGGTAAGCAAGGGCTGTGCAGACAGCGGTGATATGTCAGGCTTTCAGGACTAATTTACTGTAAAATACCATATTTTATTGCATAGAACATACCCCCTTTTCCCAGAATCCAGCTGCTGGAAATTGAAGTGGACAGTATATGTGAGAAATATGGTAAGAGCAGGTTCTGCCATTTAAGGGTGAAACCAAAAGCAAAATCTGTACAGATCCACAGGCAGCAGAACAATGAGCAGGTTTAATTCATTACCTACTTAGTTACTTAAAACAAGGACAAATCTTTTTGCATTTATTCTGACTTTGAAAAACATGGTGTATATAATATTCCAGGGCATGCATATGTGAGAAAATATGGTGTATGCTGTGTAAGCTGGGAGAAGGTGTAAATGACACTAGCTTAGTCTCCTCCTGGTTTTTGGTGCTTACTAGAAACAAGACTCACAACAGGACGAGGGGGCGAAGCACTGGAGCCCAGTAGCTTGTTTCAACCTCAAATATGGAAGCTGTCTCTCTCTCACCTGGCCCACAGCTTACAAGGCCAGTCAAATCAGGAAGGAGGGAGAGTCAATATTTAAAGCTTCTTACTTGCCATCATCCTGGCCTCCCAGTGATACCAAATAAAGGTCATTTGGAGAGAAGGCCAGTTTTTCTACTTTTCCCTTGTGAAGTGACAGCCGGGCAAGCAGCTCTTTCTTCTCGTAGTCCCACAAAATCATATCTGCTTGAGATCCAAAGAACAAGGGGTCAGAACAAGAGTAGTATTCAGAATGTACTTTGTTGCTGTTGTAGCTAAGCACCATGATTCAACGATGTCAGTCTAAAGAACATAAAAGCAGCCTTCTTTCCAGCCCAGGGCTCCAGAGGTTTACATACTGTTCAGATTAGCCCATTCAGAGACACCAGATTTGTCACTTTAATGAATGTGTTTCATTTTAAAATCAATGTAATGACAGGGCCAACAAGTACTAAAAGAACATTTGAATTATATTTTAAAATTCTAATATAATAAAGGGCTTAGTCTGTCTGTCCGTGTGTCTGTCTGCTTGTAATACTTTTGGGCAACTGTGCATGTGCCGCCAAGAGGGCCGGCAGCAATTGGCTGCAGGGGCTTTGCCTCCTCAGGCAGGGAGGTGGGAGCCCTGCTGTTTTGTGGGAGGAGGCAGAGGCGGGCGGCGGGGAAGGAGGAGCTGCTGCCACCTCCTCAAATGGAGGGAAGCCCCGCTACTCCGCTGGAGGAGACAGGAGGGTAGGCAGTGAGGAGGGAGCTGCTGCCACTGCCGCTGCCACCTCAGGCAGAGGGAAGCCCTGCTGCCCTGTGGGAGGAGCCAGCGGTGGAGGACAGGCTGGGGAAAGGGAGCTGCCATTGCTGCCATCACCGCTTCCTCAGGTGGAGGGAAGACCTGCTGCTCTGTGGGAAGAGGCGGAGGCGGGTGGGGGGACGGAGAGGGAGCTGCTGTGCCGGAGGCTAGATGAGGCGGTGGTGGAGGGACTGTTTACATGGCCAGCCTCAAAGGGCAAAGGGTGGGGAGGCATGTAAACACTCCCTGAAATGCTGTCATTCATGACAGGCAATTGGCTGGTCGTATATAATGCTACAGTTTCTTCCTTGCCCTTTTCAAAGAGCAAATGTATTAAACTTCACTGAAAGCCTGTGAATAGGCAAAAGTGAGGCACAAAGGTGAGATTTTCAAAAGTATTAGACATCTGAAGATGCAAATAGTTGCCTAGTGGGATTTCAAAATTCCTTAATGTAGAGGTACACTGATACATTAGTCCATATTGTATCAGCACTGATAAAAGGAAAATTGACATTCTTGGCAATTGGCTTTTTTTTGGCTGATGTGGTCAATAATGTTACCAATAAATGCTACATGCATGTATGTAGCCACAGCATGAATGCAGCCTGGCAGCTTGGAGAGCAGTGTCTGGCCAGTAAGTCTGGGGGGAGGGGCATGGAGGAGAGAAGGAGTGGGGGTGGGTGCAGATCAGGGCCCCTGCAGTGAGAGAGGGAGCTGGGCTGGAGCATGGGCAGGCACTGTCCAGCTGGGATGGAGCAGGGTATGGAACAGAGCTGCAGCTTGTCGGGAGGGGGGGAGGAGGCTCCCTGCTACTGCATGCACCCCCAGGGGAGGCCTGGGGGGCACGTGCCCTCCCAGATCTGTGTACAGGGCGAGGGTGGGCTGCCGCTGTGTCCTCGGAGCCAGAGTCTGCACCAGCCTCTTCCTAATAGAGGGGCTGGATCTGAGCCGCGCCCCCAGATGAGCCACAGCTCTGTCCCATGCCCCGCTCCAGTTGTGCAGCACCTGAGCCTGCCCCTGCCCCACCCCACTCCTTCCCTCACTGTAGGGGCCTTGATCTGCCCCCTCCCCAACGCACCTTCCCTCCCACAGTACAGCCTTACCAGCCAGACACTGCTCTCCATGCTGCCGGGCTGCATATCGGCAATTGGATCGGTATTGGCCAACATGGCTGGTTAATAATCGGCCATCTGTATTAGTCCAAAAAATCTTTATCGGTCCACCCCTACCTTAATGCAGGAGTTGGCAACCTACAGGCTGTAGGCCAAATGCAATCTGCGATCCAATTCATGTTTTATGAATAGTGCACTGATCCCCTGTTGCAGCCTAGCAGTCAGATCAGTCAAATTCTCCATTCTGCATTTCATGAACAGCCAGCTAATCTGCTTACTGCCAGCTCCTGCAGAGGGCTCCACACAGTTCCAGCTCCAGCTCCACACAGAAAACTGCTTTCTCCCCCACCAGCTGCAGGCTCTGCTCTCTAAATTAGCCACTCTAAATTGTCTCTCACCAGATCTTTCAGGAAGGAGGGCAAGAGATCACCCCTCTGCCCAAAGCAGAAACTGGGGTGCAGCAGGGGATGGGCGGTCCATGGAGCTTGCAAGGGGTGGCTTGCCATTAAGATACGGTTGCCTTGCCTTAAGTGACTTTCGAGTCACAGTCCCATTTTTAAGAATCACTCAGTCATGTAGCAGTCTAAAGCCCATTATTAAATGCCCAGGTCACTTCTGAAAGTGAGACTTGAGCTCCAAAGTCACAGGCATTTTTGAAAACAAGAGACTTGTTTAACATCACACAGAGAGAATCAGAAGCAGATCCAAGCATGCATTCGTCATGAATCCCAGTCTCCTGCAATAGCTTTCCTACCTTAGCATTTGTTTTCCCCTCAAAAACAAAAACTTCAGCTATTGTTTAAACCAGTAGTGTTTGGCCTTTTGGCCCTGTGAGCCAGATGAGTGCCTCGGAGCCAGTCTGCAGGCCAGACTTGGCTGTCCGTGGGCCAGATCTGAGCCCGAGGCCCGGCACCACCTGCTCCCTGCCCCACATGCAGGGACTGGGTGGTCCTGGGGCCTGGTGCTGCCTCTGCACCCTGGGATCTGGTGCTGGATCCAGCCTACAGGGCCTGGGGCTCCCCATGGCTCTGGAGGTTTGGCAGCAGGGGCGTGGTGCCACTGCTCTCCCACCACCAAATTTCCAGACACATGGTGAGACCCACTGGCTAGATGACAGGGCCCTGTAAGGTGGCTGTGGCTCACGGGCCAGAGGTTGAGCACCCCTGGTTTAAACAACCAACAGCTCCAGACAGACAGTGTACACCGACGTAATTACAAGTAACAGGGCTAGTCCCACTAAATCCAATGGGGCAAAACACACAAAAACGAAGGGAAAAATCAACCCTGCAAGGAAGAGGCAGATTTCCTACTCGTGGTTTGTAAGAGCTGCCGTGTTTTTAAATCGTTACCCACCTTAAACCCCATGAAGGTGACCTGCCCAGAAGCAATGTAACGTCCGCTCGGAGACACGGCAACACAGGACACATTGTTCGTGTGACCGTGCAGGAAGCTCTGGCTGTTGTTCAAGCTTTCAATAACCACAGTGCAGCCCAGCGGATAGATGAGGTGCTCCCGATCGGGGTGGCAGGTCAGACCTGCGTAGATATACCCTGGAAAGGAAAGGGATCAAGGGGACGCGGCTGCTTAACGGCTCCACGGACTCTTCAGCAAGCACCTGCCCGGGGCTGCGGCCCCAGGGCACCGTGGCTCTGACTCCAGGGATCCGCAGGGCAGGGGGCGGGCAGGGCACGGGGGAGACGGTTTCGAGCACGGCAGCAGCACGGATGCCTGCCTCAGCGGCTGGGAGGCAGGGGAGAGATGCACCCTCACCGCCCGCGAGACGCAGGGGGGAGCGGGAGGGGGCCAGGAGGCGGAGGCGGGCCCGCACCATTGAAGCCGATGACTGCCTGCAGCTCCAGCTCCAGCTCCAGCTCCTGCGCCTCAGGCTCCGCGTCCTGCTGGGGCGCCGCCATGGCTGTGTACAGCGGTCGCTATGGCAACCGCGCCTGCGCCTCAGGTCTCGGGAGGCGGGGCGCGGCCCGCGCTTGGAGGTGGGGTCCAGCGGCCGCTGCTGCCCAGTGCACATGCGCCCCACCGAGCAGGCCAGGCGACCGTTGGCTCTCTGCCGCGACTTCACACAGGGGGCGGGGCTGGGGCGGGGTTGGTCCCGGGTGTGACGTGAGCGGAGCGGAAGTGACGTGTCCTAACGATGTTACGGCAGGTGAGCGCGCGGGGGGCGCCGCTCCCCTTTCCTCGCGGTCCCCCCTGGTAGCGGTTTGCCTCGAGGGGGCGGGGTCAGGGGTCAGCGCTCTATAAGATAGGGGCGAGGCGGGAGCGGCGGCGGCGGCGGTGGTCTGAGCCCCGCGGGCAGGGCAGGGCAGGGAGCGGAGCTACAGTCGAAACGAAACGAAACGAAACGACACGACCTCGAGTGCGTGGCCCCGGGCCCTACAGACCCGACAGGACGTGTGTTCTGGGGCCCCACATGTGTTGTCGCGGTCATGCCAAGAAGGGCCCGTGCCTGGTATTCGGTGCTTGGTAGCAGCCCTGCAGCCCCTGACTTATCGCAGATCCCCGCCGACGGGAGCTCAACACCTCCTGGGGAAGGCATCAAACCGTTTAGTCATCTGCGCGCAGACGCGCAGCTTTCGTAGGACCAGCGCCAGGTCCGCGCAGGCGCGCGCCTGCCCGAGCGCCCGCTGATCCTGCTGGAGGTGCATTGTCCCAGGGACTGAATAATGTGCTAGATCGGGGCTCAAGCTTATCGCTGCCGTTCTCATGGTTCGACCCGCAGAGACCGGGCTTTACAGAAAATAACTTCCAGATGTAACTATAGTGAGATGCGGTGAATCTGTCTGTGGGATAACTCACCACTGTGGTCCCGGTCCTTGGGGCGCTGAAGCTCTGCCGTGGCACTTGCAGCTTGTACATAAAACACTTCAGCTAACTTGTCCTCAACTTAAAGTGCCAGTCGTTATTTCCAAATATTCTTGCTGACTAAATCGCGGGGGAATTTGTCAGCGGCGATGCATAGAGGGTGCATGTGCAACCCCTGACAGCCAGCGCTCCCTGGCAGGGGGGCAGGCGAGAGCGCTGGTGCCCACCCAAGAGTGCCGGCTGGCAAGTGGGGGCACAAGGAGAAGCAGTCCCCGCCCGTGGCTGATCTTGCTCACCCGGAAGTGCCAACAGTGTGCCTGGAAGTGCCAGCAGCGCACTGCTGCCACTTGCGGGTTGGTGGGATTGGCCATGGGGGGATCCCCCTTCCACCCCCTCACCCCCCAGTCTGCCGCATCAGCTGCAAGGGGAACCCTCCTCCAGTGGCTGACTGTCCTCTGTGGGGGGGTAAGTGCTCCCCTGACTCAGGAGGCACCAGTCGCCCTTGGAATTTGTTCCTGACGGTTCATTGGTCTAAAAGGTGCCGCCCCGCTCACTGATTGAGGTGTCTGGCAGCTTGAGAATTTGTTGTGGGTTTAAGTGAAGCTCTTTTTGGCTGGAGTTGGTGAACCCACTGTCAGCTCAGCATTCAGCATTAATTGAACAGGAAGATGCATCAAAATACTACCTTGGTTAAGAAGGCAGGTGCTATACATATACAAGAAGTAGCTAAAGGCAACCTAGCTGGGTATCTCTTATTTTAATTGCCAGGAAGGGTGATGACAAAATGTGATCTCCCATAGTAAATCAGGCTGTAGCATTCTATGCATATTACTTGGATTTAGATATCTGTAACTTCTCCAGGTTTAGAGAACGATGATGCCTTAATACAGGCAAACAAAAATCCCCCTCATACCTGACAAATGTTGTAAAGCCCTTGATAAATATAAAGATGTGCCTATTTAATTTATCTGCTCCATTGCCTTTCACAGATAAATGATTCCTATTCATATTAATATGTCTTTTGGGAGGCAAATATGCCTTTTTGAAGGTATTGTAGACAAACAATTCCTGACTTCTGAGGAGAATGCAGACTCTTGTTCCTTCACCAAGTGTTCTCTGGGAAGCCTCGAGATAGCAAACAAAATCAAGTTTATTCAAGTTGCTATCATGATAACTGTTTTGTAGAAAGCTAGGAAAACTTTAGCATGTGTGAAATAGGGTGGGTAAAGTACTTGTGTTAATACCTGGCGTTACACTGCTACTTGCAGACGGGTTTGAGGTGAGGCTCATTCAAGATAAAGGAGACAGTTTTAAAGTCAGATTACTACTTTTTTATGTTGCTGTTTCTTAAGTACCCAAGTATTGCTGAGTTTCTTTGTCCTTAAGGCATCGCTAAAATATTTCTAAGCAAAATCTTGCTGGTTTTTGGAACTTGAAAATAAATGTTAGCTTTTCTCTTTTGTAACTCTTTGTATCCATTTGCCTTTCTAGGACAGTAATGATGACACTGAAGATGTGTCACTGTTTGATGCAGATGATGATGCACCTAGGAGATCAAAAAAGTCAAAAATAAGGTGTGTGACCAATAGAAAGAGGTTTTATTTTTGAGGGTCTTCTATCAAAAATGTGGTGGAGGCAAGACATCCGTTAGGTCATATTGTACCAGTAGGCAATAACAGAGCATTGGTGTAATTGCGTTCTCTTTGCTTAGAAGTGATTTTCATTTGTAAGAGTTTTTATTCCTATGAATTGGGGATAACTCATCAACTGTTGATAACTTAATCTTCTGTTTTAAAAATCTGTGGCTTTTTGTTGATTTTATAGTCATGATATTTGTTTGTCTGCAGACTCCATGAGACTGTCTGTATGAAACTGTGTGAAATAACCCAAACTGTTGCTTTATTCCAAATTAATCATTTTGTGTGATAGGAAGATTTTCAGTGGTTTGAAGGGAGGAGTTGTCCTTTCGTGACCATATCTTCAGCTTCAGGTCTCGAATAGTTTCTCTGCCATTTCAGCATTAGCCACCTCGTGCCCTGTCATACAGCTGATACAACAGCCTCACTCCTGCTTTACTTCCAAACAACTTGTAGGGCAGTTTACAGGCAGTTCTTCTACAGCTCAGCTGTGCAGTAATCTTAAAGTCTATACTGCATCTCTCTGAACTGGAAACATAGAAGAAGACAGAAAAATGGACTGGGTTTCTCCAGGAAGAGAGAGAATCTGCTTCCTTTCATTTCAAAGGGTGTCTCTTCTCACTCTGTCCTAATTGACTTCCTTTAAGCTACTAGCTCTTAAAAACTTCTGGCATCACATTTCCCCCTACACTCCCACTCAACTCTTGCATGGACTTTGAACAATTTTTGCACGTGGGAGAAGTCTTCTGATCAGGGGTGCACCGATAAAAAAAATTTTTGAGCCGATACAGATGTCCAATTAGACAGCTGTCTAGACGAGCCATGTTGGCCAATACCGATCCGATTGCTGATTTGGACCTTGGCAGCTTGGAGAGCAGTGTCTGGCTGGTAAGTCTGTTGAGGGGGGTGGGGGGGGGTCAGATCGAGGCCCCTGCGGTGAGGTGGGGAATGGGGCTGGTGTGGGACAGAGCCGCTCTGGCTCATACTCGGAGCGGGGGCTGCTTCCGCCGTTGCACGCACCCCTGGGGGAGGCATGGAGGGTGTATGTCCCCCAGATCTCTGTGCAGGGCAAGGGCAGGCTGCAGACTGGGACTGGGGGTGGTGCTGGGCTTTACCTGGCCACCCGGCCCAAGTGCAGCCCTGGCCCAGCCCACCTGCTGGGAAGAGCCTGGTACTGCCCCCGGCCCCAGTCTGCAGCAGCTTGCCCTTACCCCGTGCATAGATCTGGGGAGCACATGCCCCCCATGGCTCCCCCAGGGTGTATGCAGCAGCAGGAGTAGCCCTGTGCTCCCTGGACAAGCTGCTCGTGGCTCCATTCCCCTCCCAGCCCTAGCCCCATTCCCTCCCTCCCTCATCTCGGGGGCCTTGCTCAGGTGCCCCCCCCCCAACTTACCAGCTGTCCAGGCTGCCAGGCTGGCCTCGTGCATGCTCACCTGCACGCGGCATTTATCAGCGATATTATCGGCTAAAACAGCCAAAAAAATCTGATTGCCAATAATGTCAGTTTTCCTTTTATTGGTGCTGATAACAATATGGGCCAGTGTATTGGTGGACCTCCTACTTCTGATTATATCTGGTTGACTTTGCTCTGCCATGTGAAACAGCACAAATGAGCAGTGTGGAGCTTATATTTGTCATTGTCAGTATTTGCAAACTGGCCTCATTTAAAGAGGTGTCCTAAACTAGACAAAAGAACAATTTTCCTGTAACAGTGCATGCTTTTTTCTTTAAACTAAGTTGCGGTAGTATCATTTGAGAGGTCTGTGACTGTGTTCTGCTCTTGATGTATCATTTACAGGCATCCGGTGGCATCGTTTTTCCACTTGTTCTTCAGAGTCAGCGCAATAGTTGTTTATCTTCTCTGTGAACTGTTGACCAGCAGCTTTATTGCCTGCATGGTCACAATTATCTTGCTGTTATCATGTGATTTTTGGGCAGTGAAGGTAAGTCTACCATGTTGCTTTGCAATTCTTAAAAGGTAGAAACCGACTTAAGTTAAATACTGTCTGGACATGCAGGTGTGTGTTAAAAACTAAGGTTAGCTCCTTTTTTCATTTTGCAGGAAGTGGTACCGTATTATCTGACAAGAACTTTAAAAGTAATGGAAAGCTCTTAATTCTCACGTTTTGCGTATCAGTTATTTTTGAGGTGCAGTTGGGGAAAATTTCTGTCAGACATAATATGATTTTTAAGTAGAAGTAAAGTGGCCTTCAAAATTGTAGAGAACGTTTTACGTGTTTTGCAATTATTTATTATTGCAGTGAAGATGCTGGAAAATACAGATGTAGTGCTGATTGAGCCTGAACTAGATCTACCAGCAATTTTACTTTACTTATTCTGAAAAGCAAATTCAGTAATAAAATAAGCTACCTCAGTGCTCACTGGGAGTTTGGCTTTCCACTGCATTTAACCCTTAGTGAAAACTCTTAGTTTTATTGTGCATACATTTGGCACAAAAAATCTCAGGTTCCTGGCAGATGTTACATTTATAAACTGTTATATGCCACATGTGCAAGTAATTTATGAGCAGATAAAGTGGCAGACCAGCCACAGAGATGTTCCACATTTAACCCCAAAGCTCTAACACGGTAGTATTCATAGTTATAGTTGCTATAGCAATTATAAATACATTTTACAAAGTATGGGAAGAACTGATATGGTATATTTAGTTCAGTTTAGCTGTTTCATAGTGCATGGCACACTCTTGATTCATGCCCAAGGTCTTTTTTGGTGTATGATCTTTATGGTTAAATGTGGTACATTGTTGTGCCTGGTTTATGTTGTGCTTGAATTTGAATGTGTGACATGAACATGTGGTGCAGGAGCCTGAGGTAAGGGAGCTACTCTGTGCCAACCTGCAGCCCAGCTGCTTGCATGCCCTTTGAACATACCGGCGGGGCCAGGAGAAGAGCCCAAGATCAGGGAGCAGCTCTCCAATATGGGGCTCCCTACATGCAGGGGCATGAATGCAGCCCAGCTGCAGTGTGTGCAGGGATTCCAGGAATGGGGAGCTGCTTCCTATCTTGGGCTCCCTGCTCATCCTTGAAATGTGCTGACATGCAGGGAACCCAAAACTGGGGAGAGGCTCTTCTCTTCACCCCCCCCTCCCACCCTATGAACCTTAGCATGTTCAAAGAGCTTGTGTGCAGCTAGGCTGCACATGTGAACTTGGAACATGTGTGCATGTGGGAAGTTCAGGATCAGAGAGCCACTTACAATCTTGGGCTCCCTGTGTCCCAGGACATGTAAAGCCCCTCTGTGCAAGCTGATGCTAGGACACAGGCGCACTTTTCAATGGCATCATTTGTCCCAGACCCAGTGACTGTCCTCTGCCCAGTCCTGCCAATTTGCTGATTAGGGGGATCGAGCAGGGAACTGGAACACAGCTGCCCACTGCCCTCTGGCTGATTGATGGGCTTGTGTAGACAGCAGCCCCTGTGTCTGGAACCAATTGTCCCTGTCCTTTGAAAAGTACACAGTGTATCTGGTATTGGGGAATCCTGTTCCCTGATGACAGGTTGCTCTGATGGGTAGGGTGCCCTGTTTAGGCAAGTTGAAAGGTGTGCTGTGCTGCCAATCATTGAGGCACCAGTTCCCTTTTGCTGGGCTGCCTGGCAAGTAGGGGTGCACCGATAGAGATTTTTAGGGCCGATACTGATGGCCGATTTTTAAGGAGCCATATCGGCCGATATCAGTCTGATTCTGATATGCAGCTGGGCAGCTTGGAGACCAGCGTTGGGCTGGTAAGTCTGTTGTGTGGAGAGGGAAGGGGAATGGAGGGGGTGGGGAACAGATCGAGGCCCCAGTGGTGAGGGAGGGAGGGAGTGGGGCAGGCACTGCTCAGCCAGGGTGAAGTGGGGCATGGGACAGCCATGAGCGGCTCGTTCAGGGGGTGTGGGGAGGGGTTGGCAGCTCCCGCTGCTCCAGGCACCCTGAGAGGCCGTGGGGGACTTGTGCCCCCAGATATGCATGGGGCAGGGCAGGCTGCCGCTGTGGGCTGGGGCCGGGGGCGGTGCCAGGCTCTTCACAGTGTGGGGGCTGGGTTGTGCTCAGGGCAGGTGGCATCAGCGCTGGGCGGTGGGGGGAGGGTGGGGTGCAGCCTCCCCAAAATTTGCCATAGCGTTGCCCCCCCTGCCCTGGTCCCAGCGCCACTGCCATCTGCCTTAAATGCAGCCTGGCCAAGCCCCCATGCCGGAAAGAGCCTGGTGCTGGCCCTAGCTCGCAGTGGCAGCCAGCCCTGTCCCACACAGATCTGGGGACACACCCCCCCCCACATGCCCACCTGGGGTGCCTGAAGTGGCAGGAGCCACCCCCTGAATGAGCTGCTTGCAGCTGCATCCTGCGCCCCACCCCGGCTGAGTAGGGTCTGTCCCAGCCTCACTCCCTCCCTCAGCATGGGGGCCTCGATCTGCCCACTCCCCCTGACGCCCCTTCCCTCCCTCTGCCCCTTCCTCCACAACAGACTTACCAGTCAATGCTTTTCTCCAAGCTGCAGGTCTGCCCTCCTGACCATGTGCATGCTGTGGCTGTGAGCGTGCACAGGGCATTTATCGGCCACATCAGGCAAAAAAAGCTGATTGCTGATGCTCTCAATTTTCCCTATATTGGTGTGATCCAATATAGGACCAGCGTATCAATGCACCTCTACTGGCAAGTGTTTAAAGGTCCAGGCATGAGGGGAGCCATGGATTAGAGACCAGATCCCTGATCTGGGGCTCCCAGTGTGCCTGCAGATGTATGGTGGGATCTGAGGAATTTAATCCCTGGTTTCAGAAATCATGTATCCTGCTATGCACATCTACAATGGCAAGATGCACAATTTTGGTGATTGGGGATAAAATTCCTTAGATTCCATTATGTGATTGAATTAACATCCTGCCAGGCCCTCACTAGCTGCCTGCAGGGGGTTTAACAGGCTATTGCTTTGGTTGACCCCAACTTTTTGTGATTGTAATACTGCTTTCTTGCACCACAAAGCGAGAGTATACAATTTTGTTGCTCAGTAGTGCTTTTAAACTGATTTATTTTTTAAAGCTACTTCTGCTCTTCCTTGATCAAGGTATAGGGTGACTTAGTGACACCTCACATCCTAGCCTTCTGTTGATGAATTACATTGTCACTAGGAGTGTTAATAGTGAAACAGCAGGAGATTTCCCAAGGGCAACTCACAGGTCAAGGTCAGCTATGCTTTAGATTGAAATTGGATATTGAATTAGTAGTTTCAGACGAGTTAGTCGTATAGGCTTGATCTGCATGCTCTGTTACGTGCAAACACTACATTTAAAGAATGTTGATATTGTAAAGTTAAGTATTTGGAATTCATGAAATGCCTGAATTGAAAGGGCTTGTACCCCCTTAGTGTGCCTCTATCTGTATATGCATTATTGCAGAGCGTTTACATGATCTTACCTGATCCTTAATCCTCATTCCAGGCTCCCCACTCTCCCTCAGCCTGTGCCAGTTGTTTGTTCTCGTCTTCCATCTAATCCATTGGCTCCCAGTCCTAGTATCTTTGGCTTGCCAAGTCCTTCCTCTCCATTCTGAGGCCATGTGTAGATGAAACGAGGGGCATGTGTGCACAACACTTTAAAGTGGGTTAAATGCTTTTGCACTGCTTTAATTGTGTTGGTGTTTGCATGCCTCGGCGGCGTATTGTGCAGTAATTCCAGCCACTGTAGCAAATTTGGCAGTGTAATGCGCCTTAAATGACTTGGGGCGCAGCAAACTAAAACTCTTCCGAGGAGTTTTAGTTTGCTCCGTGGCTGTAGGGCAGCAAAGCACCAGGCTCTGTGCAGCTCAGGGAATCTGCAGGAAGCCCATGCAGGCAGCCTGGCAACAGCTCAGGAAGGCAGGCTCCGCCCAAGAAAAGCAGCAAGCCTGATCTTTTTTCTTTTTTTCCCCCTGGAACCTGCCTGCTTGCCTGAGCTGTGCAGGGGCCCAGTGTTTTCCTTCACAGCTGTGGTGCCCCCCAGGACCAGCCAAGCTGGGTGCCTGCAGGTGGGTGCCACCTTGGCAGGGGGCCACCACTGCTGTGGAGGGAAGCGCCAGCCCCCGCCTCCGTAGCCCAGGGACCACTCCGCCCACTGGCAGCTCACCCTCCCCTCCCTGCCGCTAGAGGCAGGTAAATTCGGGTGTGTGCATGACACAGGGGTTTAAAGGGCCCTAAATTGAAGTGGTGTTTTTAAAAACCCACCACTTCAATTTAGGGACCCTGTTTCATCTACATACGCCCTGAGGCAGGTGACTGGCATAGAAAATTTCAGGCCAGACATCTAACGTTTGGCATACCCAACCAAATAAAGGATCTTTAGCATTGGTAAGTACTAATGCCACCTACAATGCAACTAGCAGAATGCAGTCTGGGAGCAACTACTGATGTACAGACAATTAGAAACTCATTTGACAAGATACAGGAATTATTGGTTTGGTAGGTTTAGTTTGGCATTTCATGATTCATGTCCAGGGAGGTTTTTTTTTTGGTGTCTGAGCTTTAGGGTTAAAACCTCTCTGATCCCACTTTTATTTGTATTTAACCTCCTCCAGAATGTTACGGGCCGGTTGATGGTTGGGCTTCGCTGGTGGAACCAGGTGGATGATGATGGCAAGAGTCACTGGGTATTTGAAGCCAGGAAGGTAAATGGTTTTCTTTACACTTGTTTCAACTGCTACCATTTGGTAAAAATGTCTATCCCAGCAGGGGTTAATCTTGACACAGTAGACTGTGATATTTTGTGACTTCCCTTCTTCCAGTGCCACAGTAATGGCACTGTGACTGCCAAAAGCAAGCTTTGATGGTGTGCTGAAGGCCTCAGGTCCAGGCACATCCAACTTCTAATTTCCCTGATCACATAACAGTGACAGTTTCACTGTATTAACTAACTTTAGTGTTACGGTTTTTTTTTTTAAACTTAAAAAGGTTTCTCCGAACTAGAGAGAACCTATATCTGTTCATTTTCTGCATTTACTTTATTACCATTATAATATATCCCTGTACTTCTATGAGCGTTAATATTTGCCTTCTTCCTAATAGTACACAGAGAAGTACTGTTATTGCCATAGTTACTGATTTGGAACTGAGACACAGAGTGAATATCCCAGTGTCACACTGGAAGTCTTTGGAAGAGCAGGTTCTTGAATTTACAGCAGTTCATGTCCCAGGCTACTGCTGTAGTTACTGGGCTGTCTTTTCTCCAAGTTTTACCAGTTTAAAAATTAATACAGATTAAAAGGAAGAAATAGAATAGCAGTGCAGCAGCAAAGCTGTCCATATCTTGTAATGCTGTATTGGGTTAATAGTTTAAGTGTTAATGGCTTGAGAAAGAAATATAAATGGGGAATTTATATTTCTAGAGAGATTATACTTGTGGAATCTATACTCTTTTCATACCTGTGGCCCTCCCTACAAGCTCTGTAATACTAGAACTAACGTGAAACACTATAAAAGCAGTAGATGAGTGCCAGCTACGTGCTTTATATATGATACCTTGCATTCCTCTATGTACCAAGGGTATAAAATGTAACAGCACCTCCGGGGAGCAGCTACATGCATATTTGCCTGTACTGTGCTTAGAAAATACTAATTGTTAATTGTATATTTTGCCAGGCCCATGCCCTGTGCATGTGCACAGTAGGGCTGTGCAAAGCTTCAGTAGCTGATTCGATTCGGAGGAGATTCGGCCTGATTTGGGAACCGAATCTCCAAATCTGAATAGAATCAGGAGACCAATTAAAAGCTCCATTTCAATTTGAAAAGCTCCGGAAAAGATTTGGCCGTTTCGGAGATTTGGTCGTAGAGTAAACAGGCAACTGATACAGCTGCCTCTAGCTGGTAAGTCTGTTGGGGTTGGGGGAGGGAAGGGGTGAGGGGAGGGAGGGATTGGGGCTGGGACAAGCTGCCCAGTCGGGGAGGGGGATGGGCAGAGGCATGGGATGCAGGCGTTTCAATTTGAAAAGCTCCGGAAAAGATTTGGCCGTTTCGGAGATTTGGTCGTAGAGTAAACAGGCAACTGATACAGCTGCCTCTAGCTGGTAAGTCTGTTGGGGTTGGGGGAGGGAAGGGGTGAGGGGAGGGAGGGATTGGGGCTGGGACAAGCTGCCCAGTCGGGGAGGGGGATGGGCAGAGGCATGGGATGCAGGCGTCGCAGCACTGGGAGCAGGGACTCTGCCCTGCATTCTGCCTCCTCCCCCCGCCCCCGCATGCTGGCTGGTAAATGGCGGCAG